TCTCAGTAATTGTCGTCAATTCATTAACTTTACGCATATCCGGCTTTCCAATAGGAGTTCGTTTAGACTATATTTTCCTCGGCCGCTTCCGCACTTAAAACAAATTTTCAAACCAATTTTAATTGGTAGCGCCGACTCAATTTTTAAAAAGGATCTATTCAACCCCCCCCCCCCCCTTCTAGATCCGTGCCTTAGTCTAACATGGTTCATGAGCAATTGAAGGAAATTAGGACTCGTCTTAAAAAGTCAACTGTTCCTCAAAATCAAAGTTTGACTTTTGAAATTTTTAGTCAAACATGGACTGCTCAAGTTAAATATCATGAAAATATTTTAATTGATCATGATCAATCAAGAAAATCAAATAAAACATCCAAAGATCATAATTTAGGAAAATTAGCGTTTCTTAAATTTTCTAAGTTAAGAAATCCCATGAGTTTTTCCCAACTTATCAAGTTCATAACTTCCTCTACAAGCAACCACTTTCTTTGCTCCAAAGATCAAATTGAAGATATTATTTCATACTTCAACTTTGTCATGGGGGATGGATTCCAAAAAATGCATGAATAAATATATATGAGGCTATGAAGTGAATGATCCATTCACTTTTTAAACCAAAACACTTAGTGAAATTTTCAACAGTTTCTGACTTTGACAAGTAACCAACTTTGCAGACATTTTTCTTCATGATCCAAGATGATTCAAGAAAATTAATCAACATCAAAGTTGTAGTATGTACTCTCATATTTCCAAAGAGTCCAAGGAAAAAGGTTTATCTTACTTGAGCATGAAGTTATGATTTTTCCAAGAGGCATTAATGAAGTTGAATTCAAGACAGCACACAAGTTCAATATCACTTTTGATCACTTTGAAAGCATTACCTATGCACAAGATCAACACAAATCTTGTAGTATCCCATGTGATTTTCAAGATAGTACCAAATTTTCTGAAGTTCTATCCCTTTGCATAGTAGAAAACATCATCCCAACATGAACTTAAGTTTTGTTTTGGTGCATTAAGTGAAATGCCAATTAGTCAAGAAACATATCCATCAAGTCAAGACTTTGGTTTAAGCATCAAGACTAAGTTTCAATCTGAATGATGATGGTCTAAATTTTCAAGATTTAGCCATGCTAGAAAGGAAGCTACTTGTACCTTGGCATTCAAGATAACAGTCGAGGAGGATGAGTTGCTGGTTGAGGCTGGGGTATCTTCTCTACCTTCTTTTGGGTTCCAGTTGTCAAGGTCGATAGTATGAACCTGAAGTGTTGGCTTTTTTCCGAGCTGGCTTTCTTCGCTGGGTAGATCTTCATTTCATGCCCGTTTAACGATCTGCGGTGTTCCATTGATTGAAATTTGCCCTTTGGTAGCCGCTTTGAACATCGCCTTACGGCCTCGATGTCCCCGTGCAGAGTGGCGACATACCCCTTTTTAGTGTAATATTTCATCTTAAGATGAACTGTGGAAGGGACATCAATTAGTTCGACGAGTGTCAGTCTTCCCAGGGTGGATTGGTATAATGAGGGGAAGTCTACGACTAAGAACTGGGTCTTAATCCTTTTGGAAGCATCCTCTTCTTCGAATGTAACTTGGAGCTCCACGTATCCCTAGGGTCTAGTCGTGGCCCCATTGAATCCTTGTAGATCTGACCCTATATATGGGGACATGTTCTTCTGGTCGAGTTTGAGGGCGTGGAATAGGCTAGTGTACATGATGTCCACCAAACAACCCTGATCGACAAGGATTCGAGACGTCAGAAAGTGATTGGATGGGATCGTCCTCGGAATTTTTCGAGTGTTGACAAATGATCTGGACTACAGTTAATAAGTTGTTCGAACTTTCTCTTTACTGATCCTACTGTAAGTTTGTTGTATCTGCCGCAGGAAATAACCATTGTATTAGGGAAGGCCTCCAAGGGGCCGTGCGTAGAAAAATATGCAGGCCCCTCGAACCCGCTCGGGACGAAAAAGTCTTCTGGTTGCGAGATAGACATGGCAACCAGAGGAGGATGGCTAAAAGACGAGGCTCTTGTATCCTTCTTGGATTCCGATGTTTCTCCTCGGGGGGCTTCTCCTTTCTTCCTATACTGCTTTAGATGTCCCTCTTTGATGAGGATTTCAATGGAATCTTTTAAGTGGACGCAGTCTTCTATTACATGGTCGTTGCTGCGGTGGAAGTGACAATATTTTCTTCAGTCGGTATTGCTCTTCGAAGCTTTTGACTTAGGGAATCAGACACCTCCTTGCTTGAATTCAGCGTTGATACATTTAGACAGAATACGCTCGCGAGAAGCGGTCGACAGGGTGTATTCGGTGAATCGACCGACATGACCTTTGTAATCTCGGGGACAATCGTCTCATCACCTGTCTTTGTCTCACCAGGAAGTTTATGCTTCGTCTTTCTTCTACGCTCTGGAACTCTCTTTGTCCCTCGAGTCTCTAGCCTTACACGCGAATTCCTTTTCTTCGTATTGAATATAGGATTGTGCCCGACAAAGAAGTTAGGATAGAGACCGAGAAGGGTTGAGTCTCATTGCCTTGCGGAAGTCGCTTTTTGGCCTCAATCCCTTTTCTAGTAGATACTTTTTCATGTGGTCGGCCGTGCAGATTTCAACCGCTTCCTTAGTGAACCTGTCGATGTAATTGCAAAGAGGTTCGTCCCTACCCTAGATGATACCCTCAAGCGTAGCTTCGGATTTCGGGTGGCGCCTGGAGATAGTAAAGTGTCGGAAAAAATGCTCTTTAAGACTCCGCCATGACGTGATCGAGCCCCGAGGAAGGCTCTTGTACCAAGTCATAACCCCTTTTCTGAGAGTAGTGAGGAATAACCTGCATTTGATCGCTCCAGAGACATTGTGGTAGTGCATCATGGCCTTAATATTTTTTATGTGGTCACCAGGGTGGGTGGTACCATCATAGAGAGCTAAAGGGTGAGGTTTTTCCACCTGCGTAGAATGCGGGTGTCCATGATTTCCTGTTACAGGGGACTGCTTGCGTTGTCTTCGTCGCTCATGCTGGGCGACCTATTGAACGAATAATTGTGTCCTCGACTCCCGCTGCATTGAAGAGAACATTCATGTCGGCTCGGTGCTCTTCGCGAGGCTTTCCTGAAGGCCTGGTCCTTTTGGATACCGAGGAATGCCTGGATTTCTGAGGAGGGGTACGATCGCGCTTTCGGATGGTCTCGTGTCCAGGCTTCTCCAGTTTGAACCGTTCTTTGACAAGGGAGATGCTTCTAGATTCGTCTCGACGACGCTTCTAAAGAGGGGAATGTGATCGGCGAGAGGGGCTAAGGGATCTCCGCGGGGGAGTTTGTTTTCCATTGGTGTTTTCCAGCATGTAGATTTTTTCTCCCTGTTGGAAAAGCAGATAATTGGATTTGTTGAGGGCGGCGATGAGGGCCGTTATGCAAGGGTCAACATCTTGCGGGACGGTGATAGGTTCGTATACATGGTCGGAATTTTGGACATGAGGCTTCACGTTGTCAGGAGATGCTGGTTTTCCATCCTTGTGATGAATTCCTCCGGTGGTAGCTCCGGGAATGAGGGTTTCGCCACAACCAAGAACGGCGACGAGGGAATCTTGCTGGACGTCATTACGGTGGGAGGTCATGTCGATGAAGGTTCAGAGAGATAACTTTGGTCTTTTGTTTGGGATGATTAGGAAATCTTGGTTCAAAAAGACGGGGGAGTTGGTGTTCACACAGACAACGCCACTGATCTGGAGGGATCAGAATGGATCGTCTTGACCTTCAATGTAGGGCATCAACAATGGTTGTAGGAGAGGAGGGGTCGTACTTGTAAGGTACTCTAGTGCTAAAATAAGTGTTTGGGCTAAAGAGAGAAAGCAAGTACAAGTGTTTAGGTATGAACAATAATGATTAGAATACCTGACCCTCTCAAGAGAGAGGGTATTTATAAGATTCCCACCAGCGCAGAGCCAAGGTCTCCCATGTAATCGAAATATCTGGTCGGCTAATGGGGGACTGTCAGGTGAAAGATCTAGCGCGTGATCTTTGACTTGGTCCAACTGTCTCCGTGACTTTCGGAGGGACAGTTGATCGCGTGAACTGTCAAGCGCGTGAGGGACATGTCCCCAATGACTATGTGCTCCAACGACTATATTCTTCCCAACGACTATATTGTGTCCAACGACTATATTGTGTCCTATGTATTGAGTCTGACCTTAAGTTAGACTGAATTGGCCCTTGCCCAGTTGTGGGGCAGGTGTCAGTCCAATCTAATATATATATATATATATATATATATATATATATATATATATATATATATATATATATATATATATATATATATATATATATATATATATATATATATATATATATATATATATATATATATATATAATTACAAAATATAATTGAATTATATTATCATATATAAAATCATAATATTTAAATGTGATGTCAACTTCAAAATATAATTTACTATCGTGAACTGATTAATCTATTCAAATAAAAATGAAATTATTTAATTAAAAATGTTAAAATAAAATTGACTTTTAAATAAGTTTAGCCTATTTTTAAAAAGATTCAGATCTAATTAATTTTCACACTACGATCAAATTTATGAGACAAAAAAATACTCTAGTTTTTTTAATCCATTATTCAGCACAAAATGATTTTTAAAAAATGAGTGAAATTTACAAGAGCAAAAAAAAAAAAAAAAGTGGCTTGCATTTTCAAAGAGTAATTTAAATTTAACCTGAAAAATGAAATTTCCATCACTCCCCCCGCCTAAAATTGAAACTTTCATTTTCGCTTATCGTCACCGTTTAATTAAAATAAAATCCAAATTTTCATAACCAAAATTAAAAAATTTCACCTCCCTCCACCATTCCAATTTCAAAACCAAAGTCCCACCATTAAAGAAAAATATAAATACCCAATATGCCCCACAATCTATCACATCACAGCATCAAATTCTCCTTTCCCAAAATACAATATTTTAATTTTTTTTCATTCCATTTTAATTCTCTACTATGGAATCAAATTCAATCAAATCAACCTCAAGCATACCCAAATCCAATCAAAGCAATAAAGAAAATGTTCCACCAGTTTGCAAGAATAAGATCTCAATTTCTCAAATTGCTCCATCATCATCATCTTTCAAGAGCAAGAACAAGAAAAAGGTGATTCAGCGAAAACTCAAACGAGTTCCTCTTGCTGATATAACCAATCTCTGCAACATTTCTTCTGCATCTTCTTCAACTTCAACTAACTTTACTCTTTCTCACCAGCAACCACTAATTGGAGTCTCGATTTCTTGGAAGGGGACGCCAAAACCTTTCAATCTTGCTTCTAAATCATTGAGGATGGAATTCAGATAGCTATATTTCTGTTTATCATTATTGTATTGCAGTGAAATCGATTCGATTTTGTTTGATTTTAATTCATTTTTATGTAGACTGTATAATTGTAATGATTGAAGGTGTATAGATTCAATTTTGCGATTCATAGTTTACAATTCCAAAATTTGGATTGCATGATGCTGGAGTTTTCGAGGAAAATGTATTGTTAATTACGAATAGAGGCAAATATCGCGTTGTTGTGAAAATATGTGCTAGATCTAAAATTTGAATAAGGACAGTGACACAATAAGTTGCATCTTATTTGTGTGTGTATATATAGTAAAATTATATTTTTTATTTTATTACTATAGATATATATTCACCGACACAGGGAGCACAATTTTAATAGGCACAAAAATTGAAAAATATGTTGGTGTATGCTTTTTTATTTTATTTTAGATTCAATTTTATTTTCTACCAACACTAGAGATTATTTTCATTAATGTTTTTGTTCAATTCTTGATAGGACGTTATATGTGTAGTTGTGTAGTATGTTATGTAAACTCAAGTATGGGCCAACATGTCACAGAAATGGTTTCACATCTCATATTTTAAATTTTGTTTGAATAATTATTAAGTGTATGTATATATTTACATTTTTTTTAATAAGTAAAGAGATTGAAATACGAGAAATATAAGGGGGGTTTCCACCTAAAAATACAAGGGTCCTTAGTCTACAAAGACAGTGACAATAAAAGAAGAAATTGGTATGCCAAATTGATCCAAGAATTTCTACATCACCATTCATCTTAAATAAAAATCAGTTTCTAATAAGAGATTTAATTTACCCAAGAATATCTAAATGTCGTAAGATTCATTCTTTGAATAAGATTGTATTTCTTGTCTCATATTCTAATTTTTATCCATAAGATTTCACCTATCATATCATTTGCATTTCAATCAAAGATCATAAGTATGACATCCTCCTAATCTTTATCTCTTTAGATTAGTCTTTATGGCAAATCACCAATCACCATTTGTGTTTTCTTGTTATCCTATTGCTTGTTTATATTATAACTTTGTTAACTTTGTTCAAAATACAAAAATATGTGTTGTTTTCTCTTTCTTATTGTACAACGTAAAGATTCATAATCAATGGATAAACATTAATTTCTAAATTAGGGTTTTGATTCTCAAAGGCAAGATTTTGTTCAACAAATGGTTCACAAGAGCTTTCACTTCAATGCATGGTCTATAATCTTAGGTCACATTTATGTCAAGTTTCATTTAACATCATTGGATCAAAATAAGTTAAAGTTTGGTGCATGATTTCAAAGTTGATTCAAGTATGGTTCATGTGTTCATGTCCATGCCATCTTCATCCAATTATCAAGCAACCATAAACAATATTCAAAGTACAATCAAGTTTCCCTCATTTAGTCTCCAAGTGTATATCAATGGGCCTTTGGATGCAAGAAATAACAAGAAACCTCAAGTTGGAACATGTTTAGTTTGCCTAAAATCAAGTATGGCACGCCACTTGGTACAAACACCATGACCTTTTCATTTCTCAACATTTTTGGAATCTTCTTTGAGCCAAATGTCACATTTGAACTCCTCTACAATTTTGTTTCAAGGGTCTAACACCAATTCAACTTTTAAGTCCATCAATTTTGGGATTTGCTCAGTTGTCCATATGTGCACAAAAGTAGGCCTAAAACCTAGTCGACCTAATGTCTGGCCTAGAATTTCAGGTCACAACCCCAACTTTGAATCAATGTCAAGCATCATTTGATGTGATTTTTTTTGCATCCGATTCTTTGCAATGAGGAGAATATTTTGCGCAAAGAAAATCTCAAAACGCAATAGTGGATTCCATTTGGCCTAAGTTCAAACATGATGTCATGAACTCTGTTTTCCCCGTAAGTTTTAGGTCATGATTTTCACTCCAATCTCAATCTGAAGCACAACAGGTTCCAATGGGAACCATTCAAGAGTGGATTAGACAAAGCGAGGACGAATTACAAACCACTATATATCCCGATGTAATCTCTCTCTCTCTCTCTCTCTCTCTCACACACACACACACACACACACACACACACACACACACACACACACACATACACACGCACGCACGCACGCACGCACGCACGCACGCACACACACACACACACACACTTTTGCATTTAATTTTTTGTAGGATATTTCATGCTTAAGTTTTTAATTTTTAGTATAATTTATCGTTTATTCAATAGATAGAGATTTATTATGTAAAGTTAGGTTTTGTTAGAATTGGTGCCTAATCAAGCTTTAGTGGTGATAAAATTCTAAAAAGTTATTGAGTTTAGAATTCATTGATATTGTATCTTTGTATAACACGCCTTGTGAAATATACAATGTAATCAATTGATTGCCTTTTGTGCATCATCATAAAAACATCTTTGATATCTGTGAATTAGTTAAGTGTTAACATGATCAAGTTTAAACAAAAGTATAATATTTACATTTTTTTCTTTAAACCTTCTGCCCACATTTTTGAAAAACCTCTGATAATCCATTTTGGAGAATCAATCAAATTTTAGAATTTTTTTAAAGGGTCTATTCACCATGCTTCTAGATCGTTTCAGTACTCCATATACTCACCAACACCGGTTCCTCGGCTCCAGACATTTTGGCTTGATTTTCTTTTTCTTTATATTATTTTATTTCCTACAATGCTTCCCATGATTTTTGTGCCTTGGCTATTATGATATTTAATGTTTAATGGAAATATTTTACCTTAATGATTCAAGTCTTATTCACTTTAGATCTTTGCACTTATCTTCATGTTATCATTATCGTTGCTTACAAATTGTTGCAAATACGAGGCTCTCTCTTTTACACTGCAAAGTTTATTAGTTTAGGTCGGATCACCGACATTCATTGGTTATAACATGATATATGTTTTGGGCGTGAGAGCCCTAATTGCTTGCTTTATGAAGGAAACAATGCATTTCATTATAATAAAGTGGCAAATGTGCGTATGAAATTTTCCTGCTTTTGTGATTTGCGACTTAGTGCATTGAATGATGTTAGCTTCCATTTTTAGTTGCTATACTTGCTTGCTATATTTAGAATTTGTTATACTAGTATATTAAATTGTACATCGTGTTTGGCAATTTGTTTGTGTTGTCCAGGGCAAGGTTTGGGATCATCGAAATATGTGTTATATGGTGATACCTTTTGTATTGTGCTCCACGTCATATAGAATAGTTCCCCGACTAAGGGTCGGAATCTCGTTCCTCCTCCCGAGGCTTGACCTGGATCGAGGTGGGCGTTTCTAGGCCCCACGACCTACGCCATTTAATTGGCTAGATCCGAAAGGGAGAGAGGGGGGATACGCGAGCTACACAAACATTTGTTTAATATGTCTCAAATGAGAACTCATATGAGGTATGCGTTTAAGCCGTATCAGAATTGCATAATGTGTTAAGTATGTATCAGATACACAATTAGGCATGAAATGCGCTTAAGTCGTGTCAAAATCATATAAATGTGTTAAGTTTGTATCAGATACGCAATCAAGCATGAAATGCACTTAAGCCGTATCAGAATCACATAAATGCATTAAGTCTGTATCAGACACACAATCGGGCATGGGATACACTTATGTCGTATTAGAATCGTAGAAATACGTTATATCTCTATCAGTAAACAATCATACATTTTATCTTTGTTGCTCTTATCTTAAGCACTCTAAGAAAAAGAGAGACAAAAAAGCATACACAAAATATATATATATATATATATATATATATATATATATATATATATATATATATATATATATATATATATATATATATATATATATATATATATATATATATATATATATATATATATATATATATATATATATATATATATATATATATATATATATATATATATATATATATATATATATATATATATATATATATATATATATATATATATATATATATATATATATATATATATATATATATATATATATATATATATATATATATATATATATGTAATGGTATGAAGGCATGGGCCCTCATAACGTTTTCAAAAATTATTTGAATATTAGCATATATTTATAAAAATTAATAAAAATATTTTATTTAAAATAGTATAATTTATTAATTAATTAAAATAATATTCTTTCTAGGGATATATGACTAAAAATTAAATATAAAATTACACATAGATGAATAATTATTTAGGGCTTTATTTGATATTGTGAATATTTTATTTCAAAAGTTAATTTAAAGTTAAAATATGTTTGACTAAAACTTATCAAATTGGTTTTGTGCTTAATACGTGAGCTACACATAAATGTGTTTAATATGCCTCAAATGAGAACTCATATGAGATATGCGTTTAAGTCGTATCAGAATCGCATAATGTGTTAAGTCTGTATTAGATATACAATTAGGCATGAAATGTGCTTAAGTCGTGTCAGAATCGTAGAAATGCGTTAAATTGTATCAGATACACAATCAAACATGAAATACACTTAAGCCATATCAGAATCACATAAATGCATTAAGTCTGCATCATACACACAATCAAGCATGAGATACACTTAAGTCGTATTAGAATTGTAGAAATACGTTAAATCTCTATCGGTAAACAATCATGCATTTTGTCTTTGTTGCCCTTATCTTGAGCATTCTAAGAAAAAGAGAGACAAAAAAACATACACAGTAGAAATATATACACGCGCGCGCACATAAATATATATATATACACACACAAATATATATATATATATATATATATATATATATATATATATATATATATATATATATATATATATATATATATATATATATATATATATATATATATATATATATATATATATATATATATATATATATATATATATATATATATATATATATATATATATATATATATATATATATATATATATATATATATATATATATATATATATATATATATATATATATAGACATGTGTTATGGTATGGGGGCATGTGCCCTCATTAG